AGAATGTAAACAAACTGGGTGGGGTGCCGTGACTGTATTAAAAAGTCAGGTGGGAGGAGCCGCATAGAGAGTTTTGGTCATAATTTGAAATGATCGTATTAGCGGAACACCGTAAAATGAAATGCTGTAAAGCGGGGCACTACTGTGTATATATAGTATATATACAGTGGAACCTCTAGTTACGAGTTTAATCCATTCCATGACCTTGCTCGCATCTGGATTTGCTCGTTTGCAGTCAATTTTCCTCATCTAAATTAATTGAAATGGAATTAATTTGTTCCAGTGGAATTCCAGGCACGAGAAAATACTTTAATAATTTTCTTAATATCAACTCTACAGCTTATTTATCTATCACAATTCATGTAATATGACATAATAAACAATATTAATAACATAGAAGCATGATATATACACTAGAATGAATAAAATACATGTCATTAGGTATGTGGCTAGTGGTGGTGACAGCAGCCATTGTTGTTGGGGTTTATAGGGCCACCACAGCGGCCATTCCTGCTCCTGACTACATGTGTAGAGAACCTAGGATAACCCAAAAAAGTCAGTCAGAGTGACTTATAAGTGCTACACTCTTAATGCTTCACTTTATTGCTACACTCTTAATGCTACACTTTGCCACTGCTGCTTCATGTTGTCTGCCACTGCTGCTTCATGTTGTCTGCCACTGCTGCTTCATGTTGTCTGCCACTGCTGCTTCATGGTGTCTGTCACTGCTGCTTCATGTTGTCTGCCACTGCTGCTTCATGTTGTCTGCCACTGCTACCTCATGTTGTCTGTCACTGCTGCCTCATGTTGTCTGTCACTGCTGCTTCATGATGTCTGCCACTGCTACCTTATGATGTCTGCCACTGCTGCTTCATGTTGTCTGTCACTGCTGCCTCATGTTGTCTGTCACTGCTGCTTCATGTTGTCTGCCACTGCTGCTTCATGTTGTCTGTCACTGCTGCTTCATGATGTCTGCCACTGCTACCTTATGATGTCTGCCACTGCTGCTTCATGTTGTCTGTCACTGCTGCCTCATGTTGTCTGCCACTGCTGCTTCATGTTGTCTGCCACTGCTGCTTCATGTTGTCTGCCACTGCTGCTTCATGTTGTCTACCACTGCTGCTTCATGTTGTCTACCACTGCTGCTTCATGATGTCTACCACTGCTGCTTCATGTTGTTTGTCACTGCTGCTTCATGTTGTCTACCACTGCTGCTTCATGTTGTCTACCACTGCTGCTTCATGATGTCTACCACTGCTGCTTCATGATGTCTGCCACTGCTGCTTCATGTTGTCTACCACTGCTGCTTCATGTTGTCTACCACTGCTGCTTCATGATGTCTACCACTGCTGCTTCATGTTGTTTGTCACTGCTGCTTCATGTTGTCTACCACTGCTGCTTCATGATGTCTACCACTGCTGCTTCATGTTGTTTGTCACTGCTACATCATGATGTCTACCACTGATGTCGCCAAAGAATCAAACATTTCTGTTATTTTCAGCTCAATTTCAAGATACTTTTCATCATGAAACCAATTAAAATCATATTTATTTTTGTTGTATATCTTCCATTCTATCACAAGGGACCAAATAAAACAAGAATACAACCATAAAAACCATACGAAAATACGTATACCGCTAAGGGGACGCTAATGGCTGAGAAGTGAACTCCGTTATTTATGGTTCGATTTCTTTCATTTTTGGTGTTCGTTAAGAAGCATCTTTTCATCATACATTGCCTAAGTTTCAATAAGATAGTCCAAAAAACAACTGAGATCTAATTCCCTAGATCAAGAGCCTCCCTCACCAGTGTCAATTAACCTCCCTTGAGGCCTGCTCGCATCTGGAAAATTTGCTCGCGTCTGGGAGCAAAAAATCGACCGAGCAGCTGCTGGTATCTGGAAAAACTTGCACGTGGATGCACTCGTAAGTAGAGGTTCCACTGTATATATGCGTGTGTGTGTGTGTGTGTGTGTGTGTGTGTGTGTGTGTGTGTGTGTGTGTGTGTGTGTGTGTGTGTGTTTTAAAACATTGGCCGTTTCCCACCAAGGCAGGGTGACCCAAAAAGAAAGAAAAAAAACTTTCATCATCATTCAACACTTTCACCATCACTCGTACATAATCACTGTCTTTGCAGAGGCACTCAGATACAACAGTTTAGATGTCCCTCCAAACTGCCAATATCCCAAACTCCTTTATAGTGCAGGCATTGTACTACCCATTTCCAGCACTCAAGCTCGGGTAACTGGTTTCCCTGAATCCCTTCACAAAATATTACCCTGCTTTCACTCCAACAGCTTGTCAGGTCCCAAAAACCATTCGTCTCCATTCACTTCTATCTAACATGCTCACACACGCTTGCTGGAAATCCAAGCTCCTTGCCCACAAAACCTCCTTTACCTCCTCCCTCCAACCTTTTCGAGGACGACCCCTTACCTTTGATATACCTTTGAAGAATTTCGAGAGTATATCTACTCTCTGAGCCCGGCTATGGGCCAGGCCGTCTGGGCCCCCGGGGCAACCGGGCTTTTTGCTGCTGGAGGCCCACTCCCCAAAAACATATCCATCACAGCCGGTTGATCTGGCCCCTGGTGAAGATACTTGTCTATTTCCCCCTTTAAGGCTTCAACACTTTTTCCAACAGTTTTTCTGATATTTTTCTGGTAAGATGTTAAAAAGTCTGGGCCCCCCGGATGTTTGAAAAAGTGTTCCCTTTTGCCCCCACTGCCCCCCTGCCCTCACGGGGTTTTTTTTACATTTCCTCCCTATCCCACTCCAATATGTTATGGAGTGTGCAGTTTTGGGGACCAAGCCTCAGCCCTTCCAGGTATATATTATCAGTACCTCCCTCCTCCACTCCGGGGTACATGTTCAAGACTTGCAGGCCCTCCCAGTAGTTTGGTGCTTTACTGGCTCAATGTGAGCTGAAAAATGTCTCTGTATTTTTTCCCAGCCCGATATTTCTCCTCCCCTGAAAGGGGCCCAGCACTGGCAATATTCTAATGGGGGAGCACAGGATTTGAAGAGTGTCACCATCGGCATTTTTTTCCCCTTGTTTTGAAAGTTTAAATACCCCCCAGTCATTTTTCCTGGCTGTCGTGATTTTTGTTTGTTATGGTTTTTAAAAGAAAGGTCCCTGACAAAAATTTTTCCAGGTGTTTTACTTTTCCCTTTACTTCTATTTGGTGCCCTCAGATTTTGTATATATCCCCCCCTTTGAGTTCTTCATTCTTTCCATATAAGCAGCGGAACTTTCACATTGAAACATGTTTTTTCCACTCCCCACGGGAAAACCCAGTTTATGTCTTCCGTACTTTTTCAGGGTCCTCTACCGTACGATTTTTCTGCTTTTTTAGGTCATCTGAAAAGAGATACAAAAAGTGTCCGGGGTTTTTTTGTCTATGCTGCTGAGGATGGGCCCGCAGAGGTGCCGGACAGTCCCTTTGGGGGCACTGGTTTTTGCCCTCATATGCGGTTTGCCCTGTTCACACTACTTTTTGTTTGTGTGTTTAGGAAACCAAAATCCTCTGCCCCCCTTTCCCTGTAAATGAAAATTGGCCCTTTCATTTTGTGCGCTATCACTCCATGATCGCATTTGTAAAGCGCCTTTGCAAAACTGTTTTTAAATCAATTTTTCATTTGGTCGTTTCCAGTGCCTCCGTAATTCTGTCATAATGGTTCAGCAGCTGGACGAATGATCGTCCTGCTCTAAAATCATGCGGGTTTTTTTCGGGTTATGTTGGTTGTGCTGGTCCAGAAATTTTAACCTGCCGTCTCATCCCCCTTTTTAAGATTTTTATGAGTAGGGGGTTGGGGCTACTGGTTAATTTTTAGTAGTGTCTACTGCCCCCCTTTTGGAAAAGGAGCTATGTCTCACTCTTTAAGGCCTCCAGTATTTAAACCCCTAGATCAAGCTCTTTCTCCAAAGAATACTGAGGGTCGTGCTAGTGGTATTTTGCACTTCTTTAAAAATAAGCTTTCCATGAATCTGGTCCGGGTGCTGTGCTAGGAGGGGGCATGTTTTCCATATCTTTTTCGAAATCTATGGGGGTTTTTATAATTCAGTTTTGTTTTTTTTGTGTGGCCTTTTTCCGATGGAAAAATATTTCTGCATTTTCTACCCTTTCTTCATTTAGGGGTTTTCGAACACCGACCATACTGTTCTTTTAGGATTTCACTCATTTCCCGTTTTTATGTCGGGATATGAATTCCCCTCAGTATGGTCCCCTTCTACAGGTATTCTTAGTTGGATTTTGCGAGGAATAAAATTTTTGGGTTTCTTTCAAGTCCTGTATGGCCTTTGTTCCCTTTGTACTTCTTCTTGAGGGATGACATCCTAAATTTTTGCTCTAATTTTAGTGATCCTCTGCTAAGTCATCTTTTCCCTGTTTTAGATATTTGTTTTTTAAGCAGTTCAGTAGCCTGTTTTCTTCTGTACCGTCTCCTATGCTCTCTCTCTATATCTGATCTTCCTCTGGGTTTCCTCAATGTTATGTTTCAAATACTTTTTATGCTTCTGTATTAGTTCTCTAGGCACTGTGGGGATTTGGTTGCTCATGTTGATTCCAGGGTATGTCTGATAGCTCTTGGTTTAGTTTTTCCCAGTTAATTCTATGGTTGTTAAAATTAAACTTTCTGAACAAATGCTACAGATTTATATGCTTTCCAAATCATTCTACGTTGTTCCATTCTCTCTAAAAAACCAAACCACCTCAACAAAACCCCTTTGTCAGCTCTCTGACAATATTTTAGTAACTCCCCACCTCCTCCCAATTTTTACACTATGAATTTTCTGCATATTTTAACCACACATTGTTTTCCCCTTAGACAGGACATTCCATGCCTCCAGTGCCTCCTCGTGCAAACATTTACACCCAAGCTCCACACACATAAGGTGTTGGTACCACATACTCTTACATTCCCCCTTTGCCTCTATGAATATGTTATCCATAATATATATTATGTTTATTAAAATTACCCACTACATATTTTCAGGTCTTGTGTATGGTGATGATTTTGAAATAAAAGAAGACTTATCCAGCCGTATGGTGTTTGAGTGTAAGGTAAAGTACTGGCGTTTGTAACTCAGTTTCAATTAAAGCACTTACCTGATTTATGGTATACTTGGGAAAATAGTACTGTCTGTTATATAGTACTACTGAGTAAGATGCATGTGCAGCACATTGGTCTACATTGATGAGATGTTTTGCCTGCTCAGCTAGCTTCTCCAGTCAAGAAGTTGTAGATGTAAGATGACATTGACGAAAGCTATGGAGCTGAATACACTGGTAGGGACTGACTACCCCAAACTTCTTCAAAGCTAAGGAATTGATCACCTCATATCTACACCTCTGCTTCTATTGTCTCCTCTGCATTTTGACTGCAGAAGCCTGCTGAACAGGTGAAATGTGTCATCAATGAAGTTACGAAACTTGCACATTTGTCTTACTCAGCTGCATAAAATATATTAGAGATAGAGGTACTGTACTTTATGGATGATTTATCAGTGAACAAGGTGATGTGCATGTGTCCCAGTCCTTTATTGTTTTTACACTTGTCTGCTGAGTGACCAAGTCCTTTCCTCTCAAAACTGCCTTCACACCCTTCGTTCACTTCTTTCCAGGATATCCCTTGCACTTCCATATATCCTAGATTTATATACCCTCTTGAGCAACCTACCTTGCATCTCTTATAAAAGTTCAGACCATCTTGTCAGTTAGCATTTGGGGCACCCTGCCTACACTACAATTGATCTCACTAATGTACAGACACTGTCAAAAAGTTCCTGGACTTAAATTTTTGTGCACTTCCTGGGTGAAATATGGCAATGGCATAGATTATGCTGCACAGTACGCTCCTTTGTGAAGTAGTATGATGAGTCTCAGTGCAGTCAGTCAGTTCGTTGAGGTTAGGTGGCTACTTTGTTATGTTGATACATTGTTGCAATTTTTTGTTTAACAAAATGAAATTTTTAAAAGAAGGAATGTGTGTGTGTGTGTGTGTGTGTGTGTGTGTGTGTGTGTGTGTGTGTGTGTGTGAGAAATTCTGTTTCAAGCAAGCTTTGTTGCCAAAGTAAGCATTTGGCAACAAAGCAGTGGGTCAGACACAATGTTTTGGATGATTTTCTCAATTCAAAACAGGATGAACATCAAGATAATGAATGTTCTTGTTCATCGACATTAAAAACACACGCCACCATTGAAAAGTGAGGATGGCTATCCATGAAGATTGTCGTCAGAGTATCCTGGACATTGCAAGTGCTGTGGGAATTTCATTTTGGTTGTGTCATAGCGTTTTGACTGAAAATTTGAACGTGAGGCTGGTGTCTGTGAAATTTGTTCCCTTCTTGCTGACTCATGACCAGAAAGATCATTATTTTTTGGTCAGAAACAACATGGCATTAGTCCCCTATCCTCCCTGTTTCCCAGCTCTAGCCCCCAATAACTTCTTTCTCTCCCCTTCCCCAAACAGTGGTATTCAAGAACAGCATTTCAACGATGTGGTGGAGATTCAAGTAAAATTTCATGTTATGCCTGATATTGTTAGAAAAAAAGAAAAAGAGTTCCAGAAATGTTTTGAGAAGTGGCAGAGGTGCTGGGGAGACAACTTCAACTAGGTGATTACGTAAGTCTATAATTTTTTTTGAAGCAGTCCAGGAACTTTTTTCATAGTACCTCATATACTGTATTTCCCTGTTTTTTTTTTTAAATATTATATTCTTAAAACTCATGATGGGTTGACGAATTTTCTTAATATAAATAACCTAATGTTGCACAGGTGCCTTTTTTACAATATTTTGGTCAGTATCATGTTCCTTGTCTGAAACAACCCTTCTTCCACTAACTGAATTATACCTGATTTAAAAAAGCCCACTGTGTGGATGAAATGCTGTCAATGAAGGATCACATTATACTGTATTTGTCTTTATCTGTTGTGTCTGTGTTTTATACCTTTTCTCTGAATCTGAATCGTGCATTTCATACTACTACACCGTTTTTTAATTTCTTTGCTCCACATTTTCTTATAATCACACATCACATTGATCTCACATATGACATCTTGACAGACCGCAGTTTCTACTGTGGAATACATTTGACAGCTGACTTTCATGCAAGTTACGTTCCAGAAAAACACACCTAAACTTGAAACATGATGAGTGGAGTGAATGGTGTATGGGGAAAAAATTGGATTACATTCCATGTCACCTTGAAAAAATGTATTGTTCAATGACTTTAAAAGGTAAACACATATGTTATAGACATGAAAGCATGATATTACAGCATGATTGAGGATAATTTAACCTGGTATAGCCTTATAGTTGAGTGTTGTGAATGCATTATTACTGTGCTTAACCTTAAATTCTGGTTGTTGCTTAACCCTTTGACTGTTTCCGACGTATAAATACGTCTTACGAGCCAATGTTTCTGACGTATTTATACGCATAAATTCTAGCAGCTTCAAATCAAGCAGGAGAAAGCTGCTAGGCCCACATGTGAGAGAATGGGTCTCCATGGTCAGTGTGCACCATATAAAAAAAAATCGGGGAGCCAGTGGTGCATTGTGGGAATGCCATTTCAGTTGTCATTTTTCAGCATGTCTAGCGGTAAGAAATATGTGATTCCCCAGTAAATCTGGTACTCTTCTCTTCCCAAGTGATGCTCTAACACAGATGGAAGTGTCAGTGAAGATCAATTTCATGATTTGGAGGAGTTTGAGACCAAAAGCAATGGAGGAGGAGGAGGGGGAGGAGGGGAGGAAGAGGAGGAGGAGGAGGGAAGGAAGAGGAGGAGGAGGAGGAGGAGGAGGAGAAGAGGAGGAGGAGGAGGAAAAGAGGAGGAGGAGGAGGAAGAAGAAGATGTAATAATATTGTTCCCTTGAAGCAAGAAAAAAAAAAATCCACCCATGACAGTGACAAGATAAGGGGAGATAACATCTGATAAGAGCTGACTTTGATGAGCGTAAAGGAGGGTAATATTACATGACCATCGCCTCCCTTTGTTTTTGCTGGTACACAAACATTTCTGTCTATTTGTCTGTCTGTCAAGCTCCCTGTCTGTCCATCTAGCTCTCTGTCTCAGAGAGAGCCACAAGACTGTGTCATCACGTTTACTCACATCTTCAAGCAGAGTATAGCACTTTGTCTGGATTTCTTGGGTTATCCTAGGTAATTTACACTATGTATACTTGTATTTATGTGTACCTGTGAGACAGAGATAGGCAGACAGAAAGAGAGACAGATTGAAAGATATAGAATGAGGGAGAAAGATAATTAGATAGAATGGAGGAGGGGAAGCAGCATCCGACCCCATTGTTTTGACAGGGGTAGGGGTAGTGACTAATGAGACAATATGTCACTTTGACAGCTGCCGACTTCTGACTCAAAACAATTATAAGCCGCACAAGGAGAAGAAGGAGAAGGAGGAGGAGGAGGAGGAGAAGGAGGAGGAGGAGGAGAAGGAGGAGAAGGAGGGGAGAGGAGGAGGAGAAGGAGGAGAAGGAGGAGAAGGAGGAGGAGGAGGAGGAGGAGGAGAAGAAGGAGAAGAAGGAGAAGAAGGAGAAGAAGGAGAAGAAGGAGAAGAAGGAGAAGAAGGAGGAGAAGGAGAAGAAGGAGAAGAAGGAGGAGAAGGAGGAGAAGGAGGAGAAGGAGCAGGAGAAGAAGAAGGAGAAGGAGAAGAAGAAGAAGAAGAAGAAGAAGAATTGTTTGTTTGTTTGTTTGTTTGTTTGTTTGTTTTTGTAAACAAGTTTTGTAAACAATATATTGATAATTATGTTTGTGTGCTTATTGTGTTGTATACAACGAGTGTATATATGTACATTGCACCTTACTTTGGTCTCATAGGCCACATAAGTTATGTGAAAAAATAAAATAGTGAAAAAAACAACAAACCTTCAAATACAAGTAAACTAAAGTTTACCGGGTGAGCGGCAGTCGCCGCTGTTGCCATACGCGGCTCATTTTCTGCAAACTTCACGGCTCTATATCTCGGTAAGTACCGATGGCAAAAATTTTTTTTTGTACTAAAACACTCAGAAAAATAATCTTAACATTTTCATAAGAAAAAATAATTTTTTTTTTTTTTTTGAATATTTGGCGACATAGAATGACAGTTTCAGAGAGGGGCCTGAAACAGTCAAAGGGTTAAGTGGCTTGACATTAGTGGAGAGGGTTGGGATGGCCCTACTGTGCCACAGGTGAAGTGGCTGGGGTGAATGAAGTGGAGGGCTGGAGTTTGTGGGTTTCAGTGGATGGCTGAGGTTTGTGGGCTGAGGTCAACACAGAGCCCTCAAGTATTCTGCCATGTGTGTCTGTTGTGTATTACCTTTGAGTACTTTATGCAGCTGGCTGTAGGGTGTCATTACTTGGTGCAACATCCACTTTAGAGAAGTGCTTCTAGATGTGTCCAAGGTCCTTTTAACCACTGAAAACGGTCAAACGTATATTTACGAATTTAACCGCAAGTGCCCCTAACTGTATTATATATAATTATTTTATTTTTCCTGCCTTCAATTTTTGGGCCGATTTGGCCGTAGATGCCTTGTAGCACAGTGTGCCACGTTTCAAAAAATCTGGACCACTTTACTTGTGGGAGCACATTTCAAACTGAGTGCCACTGAGCAATAAGCACAGCAAACACCTGATTCACTGATGCATGTAATTAACACTCCATTTTAAGAGGAAAGTGATTGTGACACCGAGTTTAGTAGTTGAGGATGATGTGGCCACAATAATGGTAGAGAAAACAAAAATATCTTACCGATAATAACACCATGTGCAAATATTGTGTGTGACAACCACGCCTTTCAGACCGTCTTATAATCTATCCCATAAGTCAGAGAAAGAACAAACTTTCTGGCAGTGCTGGCAACCTTGGCTGTGGTTTGTGGCAGACGGCTGGTGCAGCTGGCTGGTGTTGCCTGGCTGGATGATTGGCTGACTGACTGGCTGGCTGGCTAGCTGGCTGGCTAGCTGGCTGGCCAGCTGCATGGTGGCCAGCTGTGTGGCTGGCCGGCTGCTGGCAGCCTGGCTCTATCTCCGTTTGTCTGTCTAAATCTGTGTCTATCT